ATAGTGCAAGTGTGGGAAATATGCCCTATCATTCCACAAGAAATGCATTTTACACCAAGAAAAGGATTTACCAATCTATATGAGTTATAATATCTTTTCCTAGGTTTTAAACTAGTGAGCTTGTGGTTAGGATTATGAAGTTATTCAAGTGAGGGTGGTTTATTATTCACACTTTCTATGATTGAATTTTCAAATGTCAAATCATGTTCCCTACGATCAGATTAATCCATGAATACTTTAAAATAATTTTCAAGTTCAGTATGGGATGTTTTCAAAAGTTCATGCTTTTTCTTCAAATCATGAAATTCATCCAAAAAGGTCATGTGGTTGTTATATATGGTAGCATGATCATTCATAAGGATTTTATGCTCTTTTATAAATTTAAATATTCTATGTTTAATTTAGCATGAAATTTTTTGAGTTTCCTATATGCAATGTGTATTTTCTTAGAAACTTCTAATAATTCATCTTAGGATAAGACACGTACCTTCTCTTGATATGAATGATCAAGTTTATCTACCATTAAGCATAGGTTAATGACCTCCTCTTATGCTTCTATTTTTAAGGAGTCTAAAGCTGAGTCTACCCAAAAATATCTCTACAATCTTTTCTTGCTCTTCTTAATAGTGGTTTTCACCTTAACATTCTCCTTGCTATGATTATCTTTGAGATTTAGGTAATTGCTCTTAATATATTTAGGCTTCCTACAATCATAACAAATGACATCATTAGAAATTTTTTCATTGTTGTTGAACTTACCCTTGTTCCAATACTGATGTCTCCTTTGATGCTATCTTCTTATGAAAATTTTGAAATGCCTCATCATGAGTGCAATATATTCTTCATCCTTAGGCAATGATTTATCACTTTTTGTATTTTTTGCTTTCAATCCAATATTCTTCTCTTTCTACTTATCACCTGAATCATTCTATCTCTGATTCACTCCTTGCTCATAAGTAATCAGTAATCCAAACAAATTGTCAATAGAATATACATTCATAGTTTTTGACTCAATTATGGTAGTTATCTTCACATCATATGCAGTAGGTAAACAACATATAATTTAATTAAATTTCTCAGAATTAGTTAGTTCTCTATCTAAAGCATGCAGTGATGTAACAATATGAGTAAAATGAGTATACATGACATAAATTGAAGTTATTCGATTTCATGCTAAATAGTTTATAATCATGTAGTAAAATGTTCAATCTAGATTATTTCACCTCATTAGTTCCATCACTAAAGTCTATTCAAATTTTCTTTTCCAATTTTACAGGTTGAAACATGCATATAATCCTTACTTTTTAGTGCACAGAAAAAACTATTTAAACATTTAGTATTCAATTACGTTAAGTCTTTTTCTTCTAATGTCCAATCAAAAAATGGTGCTTCAATTTTAATGCCATCAATAAGTGTATTAGGTCTAGTGTAACCTTCCAGTACTAAAATCCACATGTCATAGTCAAGTGATTGCAAAAAAGTGGATATGCAAGTTTTCAAAAAATCAAATTCGATGTCATTGAAAAGTGATAATCTAGTTATCGAATATCCTTTAGGAGTATTCCTATTTAAAAAATTAGCAAAAATAATTTTTCAAAAAGTATTATAAACTTTAATTTTTGAAATAGTCTATAATACACATAAAAGTTGGTTTAGGTTGTTAAATCTTATTAACATGTACCAAGGCTAACAAAGAAGGGGGTGAACTGATATTTTAAAATTTTCCTGGATTTTACCAAAACTAGTTTCTAGAAAATTTAACGATCCTGAAGCATGTAGTTAAGTAAATATGATTTTCACAAAGTATTTTTCAACCATGAAACTAATAAAGTGCAGAAAAAGAAAAAAGAAAAAAAAGTAAAGTAAAAAAAAAAGAACATCAAATTTTATATTGGTTCGGTCCAACTAGACCTACATCCACTCCCTGGAGACTCCTTCTCCAAGTATTGTACTAAACACAAGTGGCTATTCATTTTCTCCTACAGCAAGATGGAGAAGCTTTTACAAACTCTCTTCCACCAACCTGGTGCAGCAGAGCACCATCATCCTTTTCACCCTTCTAGTGAAGGTAGAGAACCATCATCCTTTTTCATTCTACTGGTGAAGGCAGAGTATTATCATCATTTTTCATCCTCCTGATGAAAGCAGAGTACCGTCATCCTTGTTAACCATTCTAGTAATGGCAGAGTACCTGATCGCCTTTGAATATCTTCTCTCATGAGCCTTCAAGAAAGTAGGGAATAATTTTGATGAACAAAGAAGAGATCCTCACCTTTGGCCGACCTTGTGAATCCCCTCAGAATTTCTTCTTATAAGATCTCTCACTCTCCACTCCTAAAAAACTCTCCCAAACACTCTTGTTATCCACTCTTAAGAGAATTTTATTGCAAGATCTATCTAAATCAGTTTCAAGGACTCATTACAATTTAATTCCATAAAAAATCATCCCTAAGTTAAAATTTCAAAGTGAAACACCATCAACTCGTACAGTACAATCATAGATCATCTTTATGAATAATTTAAAAATTATGGGATGTTCTGGTACGAACCTTATTTTGTACACTGTTAGTTTTCTGCATGATTTTGAAGATTGTTTTTATGAAAAGTACAAGTTTGTATGGATGATTTGGTATAAAGCTCATTTCACACACTATCAAACCTCTATATGATTTATAGATCATCTATACAGATAGTTCAAAAATCCTAGGATGATCTTGTACGAACCTTATTTTGTATATTGTCAGTCATCTATAAAATACGTTACAACTAATTAATTTTATTTCTTTTTATCGATATTTTATTTCTAAAATATAACATAGTATTTAAAAATATTTAAATAATAAATGATACATAAATCACCTAATTGAAATAGTCAACCAATCTTTAATAACCCTAATATAAATTTCTAAAAATTAACCTAAAATTTTCTAAAATAAACTTTAAATATTTTTTTTTGGGGGGAAATTTGTGGGCTTAGCCGTTTTCATTAATGCAAAATAGTTACATGTATGAAAAGAGAAGAGAATAGTCAAAAACAAAACAAAAATGTGCAAAAGCACAAACAAAATTGATAGAGCCTAAAAAGCATAGCAAAAAGGTGTTGCAAAAGGAAGCGCTAATGAGAGAGGATAAGAAAATTTGAGCAATAGGGCTCAGGAGTTACAACATAATTTCTTTCCCTCCAAAGGTGGTAAACCGAGTAGCAAATTAAAAAATAATAAAAGAGCTTAATTCAGGCATGATTCTCACTAGTATATTCAAAAGCCTGAAGGATATTAGGTCTAAGGAGGATAGTCCTCATATTAGGAATTATCTTAGATATAACTCTAAAAGAATAGTCACATTCAAAAAATAGGTGTGTAAAGGTTTCAGTAGAAAAATGATATAGAGGACAGATGACATCAACATAAATTCCCTTAGATAGAAGAACATCAGCAATCTTAAGGCCACCCTTTAACACCTGTGCCAAATAAAATGATGTCAGTTTAAAATAATATTTTCCCATTTTAAATAACCTTGGTAAGAGCTGTGAATACTTTCACTCCCATTGCCCCATAATAGGCAACCTCTAGCACTCGAATTAACAAGAATGATAAATAGGGCTTCAAGAAGAGCAGCAGGAAAATCAGGGGCAACTCCCAACCAGGATCCTTGAAGATGACATAAATTTTAGCATTAATAGAAAAATGATTTATGATTAAGTGCATATCAGTAATATCATTCAACAAGTTCCCACTAAACCAGTGATCCTAGTAAAGGGATGTGCGAGAATTTTATAAAACCTTTAAGTGAAAATTTCCTTTAGCTGTGCGAGCATCTTTACATAAATTTGCCAAGAAAGCAGAAGCTTTAGAAGCATGTAGTTTCAAAGGAGAAAAAAATTTTATAGAAGAGCCAAGCAGAAAGAGATCTGTTGTAGTTGTAAACCCTTTCTATAAGAGAACATTTATGTCTGAATTGTACATAATGTAAGGAGGGAAGACCAAGACCTACCAAACTTTGGGCTTACAAGTGCTTTTCCAAGAGATTGATGCAATTTGTAAATGGTAGTATCACCAAAGCAGTGTAATTTAGCACATAGTTTTTTAATTTGCTTAATAACTCATCTTTCCTCAATTCTTTAAATAACTTTCTTAAATAAGGCATCTTTCCCCAATCCTTTAAATAATCGATCTGGTCGTAGCCCTCGCCCGAGCATGTCTTCCCTATCATCAAGCTCATCGATCATGCTAGTGGTCACTCTTCTCATCGCGACCAACTTCATGAGTTCAAAATCCTCTTTCTTGATTACGCTTTGACAACCCACTATTTGTCGCATCTCCTTTGATATGCACACGAGCTACATTACTTCCCTCTCAAAAAGATGAAACCTCTTCAATCTCTATTGATCCCTCTCCTTCTCGCTCTCTTTCATATTTAAAAATGACAAACTTGTATCTTCTCGCACGATGGAAATCAACATAATCACTTCATCTTCTTCAACACCAAGCACCGAATGACCCCGTCTAGAACTGACAAAACCATATGACACTAATTAAACATATTACACTAATTTTTCTACGAACTTACATTCATATCATAATTCCATAAGTATTTATATAACATCTAAAATTTGACATTTATTTATTTAGTAACTTAATCTATCAAAAATACTACTAAAATTAACTTAAAATGAAATACATCTTTCATATATATATACATATTTGATATAATTTAAAAACTAAGTTATTATATAAATACATATAAAAATTTAAATATTACCTGAGGCAGCCAGCTACCAAATGAATACAAAAAGGCTAATTTGGGCCCTTGTAAATAGAAAATATGCCTGAGAATGGAATTGTAATTCACTTCTAAGAGAGTTCTGAGAATGTTTGAATAACTGACATAAAAGTTAGTGTCCAACTACATTAAATATTAGATTTAACTTCATAATTTTCCAAAATATGATTTCTAACTTTAAGAAACCAAATCAATTAATCAATGTAAAAAATACCGTAAACGTCTCAACTCAAGCATCAAGAAGCCCACAATTACTTAACCGATCACAAGAATACAACTCAGCAGTCCCCATATTAAAAAGAAAAAAAAATCCCATTAAAACAGTTAATAAAATTTGATTAGAAGCTGTTCTAAAAAATAAACCAAATGCCATCAGCATGGCAATCAATGTAAAAACCTAAAATGAAATTAAATCCAAAAAAAGAAATTGAATGAACAATAAAATACCAACAGGAGAAGACTTGAGGAGGCATCATTATGATTTAGGAGGAGGACTAACTTTGCACACCTCTGCGTCGAAGCCACATTCCATGAGTGTTAGAATCCACGCCCTCTGTTGTTCAGAAAGTCTATCTCTAGGACCTTTCACCTCGACCAGCTTGGCTTCACCTCCATCCATATCTCCTCCACGAAAGCGCCAAAGCAAGAGGTCTGGCATGCCACTCGACCAACTCTTGTAATCCATTGCAAGATGCCTGCAAAGCGAAGCGAGACAACGGCCTCCGACGCAGGAAACTGCAGCGCGCAAGTCAGAGAGGGGAAATCTATCCCAGTTGACACCGTGGCAAGCTGTTCCCTTGTTCAGTTGCCATGAAGTGATCAACATCTCCTCAGCCATGCCTTCATAGATCTTCTGAAGGAGAGACTCTATTGAACTCTTTCTCATCACATAGAAATCATCTGTGAGGAGGTCTAGTGGAGCTACCTGCAACAAAATGATATAAACTCAACTGGAGACTAAGGAAAGGAAATCGAATTCTCTACACTCTGGGCAATACAGTCAGACAAAGGCTTTTCATCAATTGAAACAACTGCTGCTATATAAAAGAAACTTCAGCAAATAAATATCAATAGTTGCTCTCCATCAGACACGCTCTGCGTAACATAGCATCAGACACGCTCTGCGTAACATAACAATTATACTTACTGAAGCCGTTGTTTGCAATCTGGAAACGATGCATATTTCAAGAACAGACGAAAGAGGCCAAACAATGAAAGAAATTAAATACACTTACACAAACATAGTAATTTTATAGTGTAATATTACACAAACACCACTATTTATACTGATTCTACTATAGATAGCTCGTGTTTCTTCTTTTAGACTTAACTAATCAAATGATTGAAGAATTTCTCCTGGGATTTCCTACTAGGTATCGATGCTGAGATTCTTGCGTTGTATGATTGTGGCTGCCACTGCAAAATAGGACATAACAACCTTTTCATATTTCAGCTAAATTAGAAGAGCTTGTTCATAATCATTTACTTAACTAATCAAACAATTTTTTACATTTTTATAACTACTAGATTGATTAAATAACAAACTTGAATAATCTGGTGCTTGATTTATCCTTGATAAATCTTGGCAACCCTTTTCAACTTACAAATCCTACTACAATAATAAGAAAATAAAAAGTACCCATATTTTATCAACCACCATTGCAAATCAAAATAATGCTCTTATTTCTCCCACATCTACCATAAATAATATACAAGTTCCTCATATTGTAGCAAATATGCTATCAATTTATAAAATCACTAAATAACACAGCTGTAAGGTAACCTTTTTCACTACTTATTTGTCTATCTCAAGAACTCATTATAGGGAAGACGATTGGGCAAACTAGAGAAAAGGATGAGATATACTATCTTGAAGAAAAAATCTCTTGATAATCCTTAATCACCTTTCTCAATACCAAAATCATTTGAGAATTTCATTATAATCTATAGCATCCCTCTTCCATAATCTTAGTGTACATTTACATCTCCTTTCATAATATTAACAATAATATAAGACTACTAAAATTTTGAAATATCATTTTTTTTTTGTGCAAGTGATTCTATATCAGCTACTCTTTTCATGTTAATTTATTATAATATTTAGAGACTCAAGAATCTTTAATATTTCTGAAAGTACAGGATTTATAATTTTTATTGATGATTGCACTTAGATAATATGACTATATCTTACTAAACAAAAAATTTAATATCAAATTTATTCTCCCAACCTTTATTGTAATGATAAAAAAGTAATTTAAAATTAAAATCTAGATATTTCTCATAGATAATACTCATGATTATTTTAATAATTTTTTTATCTTTTTTCTTTCATAAATAAAGTATCATTTCACCATTATTCCTCCTGTCCTGACACTTCCCGATGAAATAAGATAAAAGAAATAATATATTTTTTAGCCTTTAGCAAGTCACTACGACTATTTATTATTATTTTTTAAGTCACTACGACTATTCTTTTCTAAATCAAGTTCAAAAAGATATTGAGGGGGAAATAATACTAACCACCTCATATCTAACCAATCAAAGACACCTGAGACTAATCAACTTCAAAAACCTCTCAACTACCTTGCGAAATTCCTCTTTACAAATAACTTAAAATTTCTCCAAAAAAATTTGGATGCATTGCTTCTGATCACATACACAAATATTAGGGTAAACTTAATCCTAGAACACTAATTGTCTTTGTAAAATATTCATTTTCTGAAAAAGGATATAACTGTTATAATCCAATCATCAAAAAATTCTTCATTTCAAAATATGTTTCCTTCGATAAAAATAAAAATTTTCAAGTAAACTCATCTTCAAGAGAAAAATATCCAACTAGAAAATAAGTTTAATAAAACGGCTTGATTCGATATGTACTTCCTGTGGGATCCGAAATTCGGATCCGGCCTCCGCCCGCTGTTGCTTTTCTTCTTTGGGGGAGTTTTAACAAAATTAAAGTTCCAAGGTAAATTTTGAAAGACAGATGGATTTATAGATAAGACACTACCTAGAGATTTCGCCCTCATTTTGCGAGGACTTTATGATCTGAGTTCTGGTTTCCTATAGGCGCAAGCCCTATAGTTAATTACCCCTCCCGATAACGAGAGAGAACTTTTATTAAGGTTAGTCGTCAATCAGATACGTAGAACGTGCATCTGGCATATAGTAGCAGCATGAGTTTAAGGAATTTGGGAATTGGGTTTGGATTTGGGAATTTGAAAAAAGCTGTGTATTTTAAATGGAAATTTCACCACCTTGCACTTAAAGAAGATGGTGGGGAATGGATGATTGACCCGATCAAGATCCCATGGTTCCGTCATCTTGGGCCATCATGATCCTTGGTCTACTTAGTCAGAGATAGTTGACCCAACTTGATAGAAGGATCCTTGTCAGCAGCCATAGATTGCTTCGTTCAAGGGTACCTTGTAGACCTGGGATGAATATTTGCCTAAGAGGACATTTAAATCTACCTTAGCTTACAGAGGACTTTGTGCCATATCGACCATATCTTATTGATTCATATCTCAAGGATTTGATACCACTAAGGAGAGTATTGGCTTTGGCCATAATCGGTATTTCGTGGTATCATTTGGCGGTAAAACCACTCGGTTCAGAGGGCCCAGGGTCATAACCGTTTATCCAGCGGTACCATTTGGTCAAAACCACCGGTCAGAAGACAATTATCACGTCCTTATTGGCAGGAGATTGTTTGAGAATGGATCATAGTAATATTTTCGACTAGAAATTTAGCTCTATGTGAGCTAAAGTTATATTTGAATTTGTCCACCTCGGCAAACTATTGCGATGGGTGGATGGATTTTGCTTCAAGCGTTTGATAAATTATTTCAATTTTAAATATTTTAGAACTTTGGGATTTTGAATTTTGGGTACTTGGGTGGCATTGGAAAGTGTTTGAATCACCCCTCCAGTTGAGATAAACATTCAACGAGGCCATCATCGGGGTGTTTGAGGTCATTTTCATTTGTAGCTTGAACCTTGTCGACCCTATCAACTTGTCGATAGGGGATCGGGTTTAATAGGCTTTATGCATTTGTTAGTGAATTCTCATTGTTATAGGCCTTGAATGTCTAATATAAATGTATTAAAATAAATATATCAATCAATGTAACCATATATTTGTTTGATGGTTCAAATCCTATCGACTCCTATTGATCCACATAGGAGGGTCATGTTCGAATAAGAATTCACTTTTTGACCCGCGTAGCATCCCTAGACGTCATCTGTGTACCAATAACACGCTCGCCAAGGCCTATGCGGGTGTTTGGGGGCATTTTATAATTGATTTTTGAACCTTGTCGACTCCTATTTACCTGCTTAGGAGGATCGAGTTCAAATTTATTAACCCGAGCAGCATCCCACGATGTCGCGTGTGTATTTATAACAGGCTCACCGGGGCCCATACGGGTTTTGTGATTACCCTTGCCCCTTTTATGTACCTATGTGTATACAAATTACGGTGTATGTATGGGACACTTTTTTTGTAATATTTAAAAACACCTTATGTCCGCTTGCATAGATGTTGCGGATCCGGTGGCGTGTTATTTGCTGCTTTGTACAGGTAGATTGTCGTGCACTACTTGTCTCTTTCTGTAGGTAGATTGTAGTGCACTAACTAATCTCCTACTTTGGATCGTAGGAGCTTGCACTTGTCGTATTCTTCAAGCAAGTTGTTGTGGTCTTTGGTCTTTTCAGTACATCCGCTACTGCTGCATGTAGGTAGGTAGATGTATTCATCTACAGGATGAAATTGACTACATGATATTGCATTTATTGAAGTCTTTCTACATATACCCACATATAGTATATGATGCTCACATATGTATTTGTAGAGGACTTATATGGTATATGATGTTCACATCTAGTATGTATGGTGGATCTCTTGCAACAATTTGAGAGCACTTACAATTATTATATTTCTTTTACACCTATCCACAGACAACAAGTTGAATGTGTAACGGGTCTTCTACCACTATTCGCATATGTCTGCATTTATCACTACTCTTCTATAATCGTGTAGGATGAGTTTCTCATTGCAACTCGTAGGCACTTTGCATTTGCTGCATGTTCTTCTACATAGCATCTTTGATGTGCATCTGCATTCATAAGAAACTTATATGTATTGCGAACTTTCTACCCTTACCTGCGGAGGTTTTGTGTATTTGCTTATACCCTTTTTAATCCTCATAGCAACTCCCACTTGTATCTTCATGATACTACAAGCTTTTGTCAGTGTTTGCAAATGAATGTATTTTCCTGTATTTTGATGTTTAATGCAAGGTATCATTGCACTCTTCACCGATCCTCTCATACAAACTAATCAGTGGACTATTATATCATTTGTACATTAACTAGCAAATTACTATATTCACTTGCGCCTTGGCTTTTACTGTACATTGGAGACTGGTATCCTTGCTTGCAGGGTTCATCTGAATGTTGCAAATCAGATGCATCATTTGTAGGTGATATATTTGTTAAAGATCTTTGCTCCTTTAATTGCGATCAAATTATATATCTCCTTTGATTTTTATTGCTTGTGAAATTTGGATGTTGACGAGTTGTATTCTTTTTTGTTTATGTTGATCAATGCTTGCAAGTAAATCACATATCCTTCATTTTTGTTGATGATTGCTTGCAACCAAATGATGATTGAAATCTTGTTCATTATGAGTTCCTTGTTGTTCATCCAAGTCCTTACTTGAATTCAACTACTCAAGTCAAGTTTGAATCAAGTTCTTTGTTCATTTGAGTTTGAATTCAACTAGTTCAAATCATATCCAGTTGAAGTTCAAATTAAGTCCAAGTTTGAACTCATTAGATTCAAGTATGTTTTGCTTTGTGTCCAAATACAAGTTCATTTCATAGTTCCAGTTCAATGTCAAAGTTCTGGTTTTGCTTGAGTCC